GAATGAGCAAGCAGAAAATGCTTTTAACACCTTAAAAGCAGCTATGGCCTCCACACCTGTGTTAGCACTACCAAACTATGAGAAGGACTTTATTTTGGAATGTGATGCATCTGGCACAGGCATAAAGGCAGTACTCATGCAAGATAGGCATCCTATAGCTTATATTAGCAAGGCATTGGCACCTAAACATTTGAGCTTATCAACCTATGAGAAGGAGTTATTGGCAACAATATATGTTGTCCATAAGTGGGGACACTACTTGCTGGGAAGACATTTCACCATCAAAACTGATCATCTCAGTCTTAAGTACCTACTAGACCAAAAGATCTCCACTACTATGTAACAAAAGTGGCTCACAAAGTTGTTTGGCTATGACTATGACATTGTGTTCAAGGCTGGGCATGAGAACAAAGCTACAAATGCTTTATCCAGACAGGATAGGGAGCAAGTTTGCACCATTTCAACTCTCTCAGTTATCCAAACTGAGTGGCTCAATTCTCTCAAACCGGGATGGCATACTGACCCAACCCTCAAAACACTCATTGAAAGCTTGACTAATGATCCAACCGTACAACCAGGCTATTCTTGGACACATGGGCTGTTGACCTACAAAGAAAGACTAGTAGTGCGATCAAATGCACAGCTCAAGGAATTGCTTATGCATGAGATACATGCTACCCCTTTGGGAGGACATTCTGGTACCAAAAAAACTTATCACCGAGCAAGAAGATCTTTTTATTGGAAGGGTATGAAGAGGGACATATATGCCTTTGTGGCTCAATGTGATATTTGTCAGAAGAACACAACTGAGACATTAGCTTCCCCGGGCCTACTGCAACTATTGCCAATTCCAAAAGGCATTTGGTCTGATATATCCATGGACTTTGTGGAAGGACTCCCCAACTCCCATGGCAAGACTGTCATACTTGTGGTAGTGGATAGATTGTCCAAATACACCCATTTCATTGCCCTATCTCATCTTTATACAGTTGTGGAAGTAGCTCAAGCATTCTTGGATACCATCTACAAACTGCATGGCATGTCTAAATCTATAGTTTTTGATCGGGATCCTATATTCACCAGCAACTTTTGGCGAGAACTTTTCTAGTTACAAGGCACAAAACTGAACCTCAGCACCTCTTACCATCCTCAAACGGATGGCCAAACAGAAGTGGTCAATAGGTGTCTTGAAGTTTACCTAAGGTGCATGACAAGAGATAGGCCCAAGGCATGGGCTCAATGGCTGCCCTTGGCTGAGTGGTGGTTCAATACCAACTACCACACTGCCACCAAGTTGACACCATACCAGGTGGTGTATGGCCAAATACCACCTTCCCACATCCACTATATTCCAGGGATCTCCAATGTAGCTGCAGTTGATCAGTAGGGTAGAGATATGAAAGCAACTCTAAAGCTTCTCAAGGAACACCTAGTCCAAGCCCAAAATCGCATGAAATAGCAGGCAAATCAATATCGCACCGAACAACAATTTGCGGTGGGAGATTGGGTATTCCTCAAATTGCAGTCCTACAAGCAAAGTACACTACAATGCCGGTCTAACATGAAATTGTCCCCATGATTTTATGGGTCATTTCAGGTGTTGAAAAGGATGGGTCAAGTAGCTTATCAATTGGACCTGCCCCCACACTCTAAGTTGCACCCAGTTTTTATGTGTCCGTGCTCAAGAGGAAGTTGGGAGCCCATACCACACCACAAGCCACATTTCTACCTATAGGGACTGATGGTGTCATTGAACCTGAACCCATTACAATCTTGGACAGGCGTTTGATCAAGTATAAAGGTAGGCCAGCAACTCAATTATTGGTCCAATGGTCTAATTCATACTTAGAGGATGCAACTTGGGAGCTGTACCAAGATCTCCAAGCCAAGTTTCCAACTTTCCAACCTTGGGGACAAGGCTCCTTTCAAGGAGGAGAGAATGATAGCCCATCGATTAGCAATGAAGCTGTCATGGGCCAAGAAAAGGGGCTGAACTCAATAGCAGTGGGCTAGACTGCATGATGGGCCAGACAACAGACCCAGATAATAGATAAATTAAAGCTAAGTTAATTGGTGCGGGATTAGCGGAAGAAGTTGAAGTTGTTGAGCGCGATTAGTAGAAGTTGTTAGAATTGTTGAGAGAAATTGTATAAAGAGGAAGGGAATGAGAGATGAAGATAATTTTTGGGGTAAATTACACTGACACCCCTTGAGGTTTATGTTTATTACAGTTCCCCCTCTCACCTTTTGGAAATTACATCTCCCTCCTTCAGGTTTAAAGTTTCATTACAAATTTCCCCCTCAGCAATTTAATTTTTTTAAATACTAATTTTTCCCTCACTGGGTAAATTACATTGACACCCCTCACATTTTAGAAATTACAATCCACTCCCTAAGGTTTAAAGTAGTATTACCAATTGCCCCCTCGGTTTGTATTAGTTGGAAAAAAAATTCATTGAAAAAAAAATAATTGAAAAAAAATTTATTTGAAAAAAAATTTTGTTAGTAAAATTTTTAAATTTCTGTTTAAAAACCAACGTAAACTCATTTTTTGAATTTACGTTTTTTCCTCAAATTTACAAACTGAGACAACAATTTATAAACCAAAAAAATTATCAAACAAGTTTTTATAACAGTTTTTAAAATTTTTATAAATATAAATTGAAAACTGAAAACGAAATGGTTACCAAACAAGTCTTAGATTGTTAAAAATATTGTAAAATTAACAAATAATTAAATAAGTTGCCAACGTAATAAATGACTTATCAAAAGATTCTTAGGCTATGTATGGTTTGATTTTTAGAATTTTTTTTAAATTAAAAATTAATTTGGTTAAGAAATAAAAAATAAAAAATAATTATCATTTAAGGGTAAAAAATAATTATCATTTTAACTTTTGGGCAGATTATATACATACGTATGGTTGTTTCAATTTAATTTGTAAAAAATTATTTCTAACCACTCGAAAGATAAAAATTATATAAAAATGATAATTATTTTTTATTTCTTAACCAAATTAATTTTTAATTTTTAAAAAAAGATTCTAAAAATGAAACTATACATAGCCTAAGAATCTTTTGATAAGTCATTTCTTACGTTAGTAACTTATTTAATTATTTGTTAATTTTACGATATTTTTACCATCTGAAGCCTGTTTGGTAAACATTTTGTTTTCAGTTTTCAATTTATATTTACAAAAATTTTAAAAGCTGTCATAAAAACTTGTTTGATAATTTTTATGGTTTTTAAATGTTTGTCTTAGTTTGTAAATTTGAGAAAAAAATATAAATTCAAAAAATGAGTTTACGTTGGCTTTTAAACATAAATTTAAAAAATTTACTAACAAAATTTTTTTTCAATTAAATTTTTTTTTTAAATAATTTTTTTTCAAATAATTTTTTTCCAATTAATTTTTTTTAATGAATTTTTTTTCCAACTAATACTAACCGATGGGGTGGTTTTTAATGCTACTTTAAACCTTAGGGAGAGGATTGTAATTTCTAAAATGTGAGGGGTGTCAATGTAATTTACCCAGTGAGGGCAAAATTGATATTTAAAAAAAAATTAAATTGCTGAGAAGAATCTGTAATGAAACTTTAAACCTCAAGGAGGGAGATGTAATTTCTAAAAGGTGAGGAAAGAATTGTAATAAACATAAACCTTAGGGGTGTCAGTGTAATTTATCCTAATTTTTATAATGAAGTAGAGTGGGATCTAACATTTCTCACAGCGGTAATTCTCAGTTTCAATTAGGGGCGTTTTTTATTTTTTATTTCTTAACCAAATTAATTTTTAATTTTTTTAAAAAAAATTCTAAAAATCAAACTATACATAGCCTAAGAATCTTTTGATAAGTCATTTCTTACGTTAGTAACATATTTAATTATTTGTTAATTTTACGATATTTTTACCATCTGAAACCTGTTTGGTAAACATTTTGTTTTCAGTTTTCAATTTATATTTACAAAAATTTTAAAAACTGTCATAAAAACTTGTTTGATAATTTTTATGGTTTTTAAATGGTTGTCTTAGTTTGTAAATTTGAGAAAAAAACATAAATTCAAAAAATGAGTTTACGTTGGCTTTTAAACATAAATTTAAAAATTTTACTAACAAAATTTTTTTTCAATTAATTTTTTTTTTTCAAATAATTTTTTTCCAATTAATTTTTTTTTAATGAATTTTTTTTCCAACTAATACTAACCGAGGGGGTGGTTTTTAATGCTACTTTAAATCTTAGGGAGAAGATTGTAATTTCTAAAATGTGAGGGGTGTCAATGTAATTTACCCAGTGAGGGCAAAATTGATATTTAAAAAAAATTAAATTGCTGAGAAGAATCTGTAATGAAACTTTAAAACTCAAGGAGGGAGATGTAATTTCCAAAAGGTGAGGAAAGAATTGTAATAAACATAAACCTTAGGGGTGTCAGTGTAATTTATCCTAATTTTTGTAATAAAGTAGAGTGGGATCTAACATTTCTCAGAGCGGTAATTCTTAGTTTCAATTAGGGGTGCAACTTGGGCGGGTTCAACCCGAGCAACTCAAACTCAGTCCGAATTTTTTTAGGGCTTGGACAAAATATTTTTAAATTCGGTACAGGTTTGGGCAAAAATTCAGAAGCCCGAATTAAATTTGTGCGGACTTGGACAAAGACGTCAAACAACCCGAGCAACCCGGAACCCGAATTATATATATATAAAAATATTATAGAAATTATTATAAATTATTTATTTTGATGGTATTAATGATTTTCTATAAATAAGTAAAAAAATTGTAAATAGAGGCAAATTTTAATAATTTAATAATATAGCTGTAAAAAAAAAAAAATTCATTTACAACTTGGGCAACTCGGGTAATTCGAATTTAACTCGGGTTGGGTTTAGACAGACAACCTCAAGTTATAATTCATACTTAAGCAGATCTCAACACAACTTGAGCTGAACTTGAACAACCTCCTAATCCGATCGAACCGCCGGAGTCGCACCCTAATTTCAATCAATACAAATTTCCATTTCTTTCTAATTTCAGTTTCAATCTTTTCCTTAATTTCCCATTTTTATTACTCACCTAATCATTGCACTACTACTCTCTGTCACCTACTTCGAATGCTTCAAAACCGCCAGTGACGGCGACAGGAACGGCGTGAATCAATGGCGCGACGCAAAAACCACGGCGAAAACTCTCCGAACAAAATCAACACAAACCCTAACGGCGCCAAACGAGGTTGTTAACGGTTCCCTATTTCGCCCCCCCTAGGGTTTCGACCACAAAGAAACCCAACAATTGTAACTTTCTCTTCTCCAATCTGTTCATCGTATATATATATATATATTTGTTTTAATATCTTAAATTTGTTGGTTTAGAGTATTTACCAGAAATTTTCTGAATTTTCTTCGCGAGATTGCAAAAGGTAGTATTTTCTTTTGAAGTTTTAATATGGATAGATGTTTTGTTTTTGTTTTTGTTTTTTTGTGGGTTGTAGGGGTGGATCAATAAAACCCTAGTCAGAGTGAATTAGAGCTTGAAAGATTACACTAATAATTGAAACATTCACAAGATTTATTGAAAACCCAAATAATGCTTTATGTCAATTTTGTGCTAATATGGCGAGCCAGTTGAAAGATTGTGACATGTTTAGAACTTGTAAATAATCCACAAATGTTTGCTTTGTTATCTTTCATGTTGTTAATTTGTTGTACAACAGATGCTTGAAGCGTGGGGCGAAGGCATGATTTTATTTTAAGGGGCCAATAACAATTCAATAGAAAAGTTGAATGCAAAAGTATAATTAGGAAATAAAAATAAACATTCGTATATAAATTAAATTATAAATATGAATTTATGTCAAGTGTGCATTCTTGGAAATTTGTCTAAAGGTTAAAGCTTTCCTTAAAAACTATATACATCAAAGCATGAATAGTGAAATGTCATTGGTTATAATGTAAGAGGGTCATTATATTAAGCTATTTGTAAAGTCTTTGCACTACACTATGGGTTAGTTTGCGAAGTGGGTTGGCTTTTTGACTTTTTGATTTTTTTGGCTATTTTAGCCTGGGCTAAAAAGCTTGGTTTGGGAAGGCTTTTTGGCTTTTTGACTTTTTTGGCTTTTTTTGTGAGAGAAGAGTGTAATGATTATGAGTTGGATGTGATGTTTTGTTTGTTGTGGTTAAAATAACCTATTTTGTCTTTTGTGGCTATTTTAGCCACAAATCATCTTGCCAAACGATGCTATATAATTTTTATTTTTCAAAATAATGTCTTTGCACTATACCATATAAATTTGTTTTCCAAAATCAAGGGGGCCAAGCCAAGGGGAAATATTATCAATTATAATGTATGAGAGTAGGTCCTATGCACAATATTATATACATGCTTTTCAAAAATCAAGGGGGGCCACCCCCTGCCACCCCCTAGCTTCGCCCCTGACTTGAAGTCTCTTTTGTTACCATCACACAATGAGTACTGCATTGCTAGGTTTGGGTTGATATTATATTGCTATTAGGGATTGTTCGTCGTGGTTTGTTTAACATGTTGCCTTCTTCTTTTTTCTTTTTTTATTAAATTCTTTCTATAGTAATCGTCATATTTATATTGAATTCTTACCACGGTATTATTTTAGGTCTTATTAAGAGAATCTAACTTGCATGATACAAACAATAGTATTGGGTCTATGTATCCGAATTATTTGAATTGTGTGGGTGGTTATTGCAAGTTATTTTTAATAAGAAATGTGTTTCTTCAGTGAAAAATATATTTCCATTTTTCAGGTTGTAGGACACTTGATTTGTACCTATTTGGCTTTGGTTGCAGGCTTGCAGTTATGTCCCATTCAGCTGAAGCAGACAAAGTTGAGAGCCTTGAGTTTAAGTGGGGTAAAAAGAGAGGTGTTGGTGGAAAAAAGAAAGAGGTCCAGTTTTATGATTCTTTTACTTATGATGATGGTGTTGACTATATTCTTCATGACTGCGTATGTATGTATAAGGAAGGTGAACCTAAGCCTTATATTGGTAAGCTGATAAAGATATGGGAGAATGGAGATAAGAGGAAAAAATGTCAAGGTTCAATGGTTCTTCCACCCTTCAGAGATTTTGAATTGGCTTCGAGGTGAAGAGGCACTTCCGAACGAAATTTTTTTGGCATCGGGTGAACGTGCTGGTGTGGCGAATATTAATCCTTTGTAATTGAACTTTTGTAAGTTGTTTTAGAATCGTATCTCTCTTATGCTCTTTGTCTTCTTTTTTGATTGTATTCTGCAGTTCATATTTTGTACATGGCTGGGTCCGACCAAATTGATGACTTCTAGTACTTTGGATTAGTATTTTTCTATTAGAATGTTATTTTTCATGTCGTTTGGTCCCATTCAGCATTTATTTTTGGTATTATATGTGAGATCAAGATTTGGTATCTGGGTTGAACAATCTGATGTGCATGAAAATTCTAGTGTTGTTCTTTCTCTCTTTGGTTTACAGAGTAATACAAGTCCTTTATTTTGGATTCTATTTTTGTACATGGTTGTTATAGACAATTGCTTTAGTTGTGAAGGAATAGACAGAAGCATGCGAAGAGTTAAATTAGGATCAGTTACTTCTTATTATTAAATTAAATTTAACCCTTGAAGGAGCTAACCGGAATCAATGTCGGGACAGTTTACAGAGTCTTGTCGGACCCTTAAAAAATACACTGTATGATGGTGTATATAGGCTGCCCAAAGTCAGAGTGAATTAGAGCTTGAAAGATTACACTAATAATTGAAACATTCACAAGATTTATTGAAAACCCAAATAATGCTTTATGTCAATTTTGTGCTAATATGGCGAGCCAGTTGAAAGATTGTGACATGTTTAGAACTTGTAAATAATCCACAAATGTTTGTTTTGTTATCTTTCATGTTGTTAATTTGTTCTAATCCACCCACAATGACATGGAATGACCGTATAAGAGGGACTCACACTCCTCATTCCTCTGCTCTCTATCTCTCTCTATTCTCTCTCTTCCATCTCATTAGAGGTCAATATGGAGATGATATATTAGGGGATGTAGCACCACTCTTATTTATCTCTCTTTTTTTTTTTTAATCAGCAAAATGAAACTTTGTTGATGAAAAAAGTAATACAAGCAAAACTTACATCAACAAAGAGGGAAGTGCAAAAAGCATCAATGCTGACCTTAACAATCCCAACTAGGTTGGCACCACAAAGAAAGTACTATCATTTATTAGCACTTAACCCAAGATTGGTGAGAAACCAATCAAGAGAAACCAAAAGACACAGAAGAAAAACAAAAACAGAAGCAGAACAGCACAATCAGCAGCAGGCCACCCTTACAGACCAAGAGTGGTAGCACTTAAGACCATGGCTAGCACTTAATACCAATCTTACAGGCCAACCAGCAGCCTCATATAGAGAATTAATACCCTTAACATTTGACTTCACCCATAGGGCAATTCTTACTTTTAAAAGCTCCACCATCTCAAAATTAGCCCAAAGCAGCAGTCCCACAACACCAAAACATCATTCCAGCACTTGCCAAAAAACCAAGATGCAGCAGTAGACTTTTCACCAACTGCAGACCAGCACCAGGAGCAGCAGTAAAGACATCAACAGTAGCCCAAAAAAACCAGCAACACCCTTTACCAACTCCATCAACTCTGCAGCAGCCCCAAATTTGATTAGAACCATCATTTCAAAATTACCACTAAGCAGCAGCCCCAAATTTGATTAGAACCATCAGACCAGCAGTATTTGAGCTCCCTTGTGTCACAATTTCTCCACACAGTAGCAGACCTGCTATAAAAACCAGCAGCAGAGATCAATTTGATAAAAACCAGCAGCCTGCATACTCAGACAGACAGCTGCAGAACTCCCAGCAGCCTACACAGACAGACTGCTACACAGTTCCCCAGCAAACCACTGCTGCTGATGTTGCACCTACTAACCCAGGCCCCTTCTAACCAAAACAGAAACTCCACAAAAACAGAACCAAAAACTGAAAGCCACTGCTGAGCATAGCAGACCAATGTAACAGTTCACTGCTGAGCAATCAGTCCACTAGGAACCACAGTTGCTCATAAGCTTCATACAGTAGCAGGCCACACAGAAACAGCAGCAGCATAAAGAACAGATTAAAATGTTACTTTGACACTACAACAGCAGGCAACAGAACAGATTAACACTACAAGCTACTGCAGACCATCCCAGCACACCAACTCAGCCACAGCACACCCACTCAGCCTCTGTTCCTGATGCAGAACTGCACTATTGCACTTGTCTCTTATGTACGAGATATGCTCGTTACTGGTGAAATATCTTGTTTTATGAAGTGATATTTGAGAACTACTTTTTTTCCCCCTAATTGTTAGGGCTACGATTTATCCCTTAAAATTATTCTTAACACAATGAGATGCTTTTGAAGTCCATCACATCAAAGATTATTATAATGAATAAATTGTACAATTTTCCTGTTCTTCCTAATCGTTGTGAAAATCCTTTGATATGAAGTTCTAAGTGGATGTGAGATTTTCACTGGGGGTGCAATTGGGCTGGTTTGTTGTGGTTTTTGCACACTAGAACTGAATCATCCTAAATGGTTCGTTGAGTTCTAAGAAGTGGGGGCTTGTTTTATAGGCAGCACAACAAGGGTTTCATTGTGATCCAGTTACCATTTTAGTGCATAAACCATTTGTTCAACCAGTTTGAAGCCTGTGGCTAGAGGCTTTCTTTAGTCCAGGTTTGAGGATCCTATAGTAACTAATCCGCTAGGTGCAGCTTTCTGCTGGTGCTTTTTTTTTTATTTGTTTTGTTTTTTGTGTGTGTGCATGTATGTGGTCAGAAAAACTGTTTTTGAAACCAGCTTTTAGGTTTAAAATTGGCCAAAAGCCTCTTTTTTGGGCTCCTTTTACCCAACCAAAAGCTTTTTAGGATTTTAGCTTCCAGCATTTAAAAGCTAGCCAATGATGGCTTATTGGATGCAAAATTGGAATTATCCTAAGAAGCACGGACACTTCTATATAGGAGGTGTGTAGTGTCGGACACAACACTCTGCGGACACTCTTTAAAAGTGTGTCTGACACCTCTAGCGACACTTCTTGAACCAGCTGAACAAGACCTATGTGAAGAAGCTCAATGTTTTGTATTCTTTGGAATGCAACTTATTCATTCTAAATTTGTTTTGAAACACTCAGATGAATACATCATGTGTATTTCTAAATTGTATAATTATTTTGCATTATTGAGATTGTAACTGTTATGTGGATGATATTTTGATGTTTAAGATATGGAATATATGACTTTTTAATTGTAATTAGTGTTATGTTTTTATTTTTATTTTTTTCAATTACCTTTGAATAAACTATTCATATATTTCAGATATAATAAATTTATGAAAATATAAATTTTTAACATGTCCTGCATTTTTTTTGGGGAATCTATGTGTCGGCGTATTAGTGTCATCCATGTCTGTGCTACTTAGGAATTATCAGTAGACATGCTTTTGTAAATGTAGATTGGTAAAGTTCACATCTTATATGTATGGATGAGCCTAGTCGCCTATTGTTTGACAGTGTCCTTGCAAATGAAATACAGGAATTAATTATAAATTTATTTTGCATTGATATCGGTGCATGTCTGTAAATTGATTGTGTAATGTACTTCTGGATGATTGCTCACGAGGCTCTACTTTGGTGGTAACTTTAGCAACTTTAGCTTATGAATTGTTACAATATGTTGAGTTCCTATTTTGGTGACTGGGACAACTTTATTTTAAAGTGAATTGACTACTCTGCTCACTGAGTTTCCATTTATTTAATCAGGAAGCAATTGCTGGAAATGCAATGTCGTCTGCATTTCAAAGGACAGCAGAAACCCGCGACCTTCTGAGCAAGAAATTCGAATGGCTGACAACAAATTTTACCGTACTTTCGACGTTAGACACTGCACAATATCAGATAAGATGGACGATAAAGTTGGTGGGCTTGAAGGTTGTCTTTATATCCTGAATTCTTCTGTTATAACTTGGTTTCTACATTCTCAATAGGCTGTATCATTCTGCTAGTTCGAACACTCACATGATTTTGGTTTCTGAATTTGTTACAGTTAAGTTTGTATTTAATAGTAAAGAGAGTGAAATGATCAGGGGTGCTCCTCTTGATTATGAAAAGAAAGAGGAAGCTGTAGCATGTTATCAAACACTCCGGCTTCCAATTCAATAGTAAAGAGAGTGAAATGATCAGGGGTGTTCCTCTTGCTTCTGAAAAGAAAGAGGAAGCTGTAGCATGTAATCAAACACTCCAGCCTTTGGGGAAAAACCCTCCTGAAGAGTTAAAAACTCCAAAGATAGATGGACATTCAAATCATTTGGTGGCAAAAGGATGTGCAGATTTGAAAGATTCATTGGTTAAAGGAAAACCTGCTTCTTGTGCTGCAATGGATTCTGATGACGTGCCTACAACCAGTGGTCAACAGGGAACTGTTTCAGGAGACAAAGCCACAAGGTATAGACTTATTTCTGATAAGGTTGTGATTAAAACGAGTATGGTTCCTGTCAGTCACATTGAAGTTCAAGATAAAATAAATTTTTCCAAAGATTTTGCTGCTTTGCAGAGCAGGCTGTCTAAGACCCATTTGGTAAAACTAATTTGCAGCTTATTTAGTTTAAAATTTGAAATTTCATGCTTAAACAGTTGTACTTTGAACTGTTAGGGTGTATGGTAAAACTTTTCAGGTTTTCATCTTATTTACTTTTCAGCTCAAAAGGGCCAAAATAAACTAAAATGCTCACTTCTTTAAAGCTGGGTTTAAGAAATCAATGGCTAATGGTTCTGTTAAACTATCTGATTACAGGAATATGAACAGCATTCAGAAATTGACAGTTCATGAGAATGATGCGAAGGCCTTGGTAACAACTATTACTTCTCCTGAAGGGAAAGCAAAAACTGGACCTGGAAGTGGAAGTGGTTTTTTGGGTCCGGACAAGGGTATAAAATCTGTTAAAGATACTGGAGCTTTGGAAGATAGACCTTCTAAGAAAACCAGGGTTGATAGTTCTATTAAATTAAGTGAGAACAAGAACAATAATGGTGTTCGGAAGGCAAGCATCAATTCTGATGGGAATAATGCAAAGGACTTGGCAGCAACTCTTCCTTCTGCAGGAAAAACATAATCTAAAGTTGCTTCTCTTGGGCGGGACAAGGACCTTCGGCAGAAGACTGATGAGAAGATGACAAAACTTACAAAATCTAAAGTTTCTTCTTTTGGGCCTGACAAGGACCTTTGGCAGAAGACTGATGAGAAGATGGCGAAGCTTTCCAATGGCAAGCTGCTTAAAGTATCTGCCAGGGAGACTCCTGGTGACAGGAAAACTGAAGGTGAAGTCACCCGAAGACCTGGTGATGAAAGTTGTATTACAATTTTCTTTTGGAATATTTTGTAATATTTGATATCATAACATTGAATTAGATTAATGTAATCATTTATTGTTAAAATCTTATATCTTAGACTTAGACAAACTGCATTTCTGAGTGATGGGTTATCTTTTGCTCTTTTAGGTGAATTCTGTGACATCTAAGCAACTTTGAAAAAGTTCACTAAAAAGATTTTCAGAAAGGTGTCCAAATGCCTTTGCTTTTCACACAATAGAGTAGAAGACTCAAAAAGCTACTCTTACTTATGTATTGGCTTTTATACACTGCAAGAAATATAAGTTTTGGCGGCGTTTTTTTAACGACACTTTTTAAAACGTCGCTTTTCGTAATATTTAGCGGTGTTTTAAAAACGTTGCATATTTCTGTAAATAAAACGGTGCCGTTTTGTAATAGAAGGCGTTGAGACACGCCTCCAAATGCGTTAGACCTCATGCGCCTCTTTTGAATCTGCAAATAATTGTTAAAGCCTATGTAAACCCTTATTTTGAATACTCACGGCTTCAAATCTCGCCTCTCTCACAACCCTCTTTCTTAATCTCACGATGTTGCTCCAGAGTGGTGTCTCTCTCTCTCTCTCTAGATCGATCTCTCGTTGTTAACCCTCTAAGAGATTCATCTTTCATCTTTGAGATTCAGAGATTTAGATCGGTCTCAGTGATTTCATCTCAAAGCGATTTCAATTTCGAAGCTCCAGAGCGGTGTTTCTCTTTCTCTCTCCCTAGATCTCTCTCTATCAACCCTCTCAAAGTTTCATCTCTGAGATTCAGAGATTCAGTCGGTCTCAGTGATTTCATCTCAGAGCAATTTCGATTTCGAAGCGCCAGAGCAGTCTCTCTCTCTCTAGATCTCTCTCTCTGTCAACCCTCTCAGAGATTCGTCTTTGAGATTCAAAGATTCAGAGATCAGTCTCAGTGATTTCATCTCAAAGCGATTTCGATTTTGAAGTTCTCTCTCTTGATTTCGAAGCTCCAGCGAGGTATCGATTTCTCTCTCTCTCAAGCTCTTCCTTCCCGTCTCTCTCGATTTGGTATTTATTTTCTTGGAAAACCTATTCAATTTCTTCTTTTGTTTGCTTTGTCATTCTTCCTTAATATGTTGTGTTTTTGTTTTGAGAAAATGCCAAATGTGCTTGTGATTATGACATTTGTTGGATTTGAGATCATTTGTTGGATTTGTTGGATTTGAGATCATTTTTGGACTTAGTTGATTATTTAGTTTTCTCAGATGGTGATCACAATGGCGGACGTTCTACTCATTCTGCTCATCTTGTTGAGGAAAAGTTGTCTGGCTCTTTCTCTATGAAGTATGGATTATTTCCCTCTCCGTAGTTATTTTATAATTTGGTTTCTTAATTTGTTCGAGTTTTCCTTGTGTAAATTAAGTTGCTAAAAGTACCTTGGAATGGCAGATAAACAAGCTAGTGGATATTGCTCGATCTGTAGCCAATGTAAACACTAACGACTACAGTGCCTTGGAGTATTTGTTTGACCGTCTAGAAAACCTAAAAAAAAAAAGGTCCTTCTCTCTGCTTTTATTTTCAGATTTTGTGGTTTACCATCCTGTCATCCTGTAATAGTTTTGAGTGCAAAATATTTGTTAAGATTGCATTTTGTACCTCATCATATCTTTTGCGTTGGTTTTATACTATTGAAACTAACAACGAGATTTTTTGGGATGTAATATGCAGTAATTTAGTTGCCAATAACTTCACAATAGAAAGTTCGAACAACAGGTGATTCTCTCGTTGCTGTATCTTTTTGACCTTGTTCAGTAGCCTTTGAACACTCAATGCTGCTAAAGGAAATTTCAGTCATTTTCCATTATATTGTTTAGTGTTTAACACCATAAGCTGGTAACCAGCACCTTTATCAGTAGCCAAACATGCATGTGCTTGATGCTGCTTAGATTCACCAGATATAATCTTCTTCTTCTTCTTCTTCTTCTTCTTCTTTAATGGTTTTGTAGGCAAAGACTCTAAGGAAGACCTAAGGTGGTGGGATGAGACAAGTTGGCGTCCTTTGTGCTACTACTTTAGTTGCAGTGCAAGAGAATGTTGGAAAGCTCGAGAGTGATCACAACAATGCTAAGTTTTTAGCACGTAAATTTTTTCTCCTGTTTAATACATTATCATATACATACAGTGGCAGACCCATAAATTCATGTGTTATTTTGACTGATGTTTCTTTTTTACATTTTTATAAATTTGGTTTTCAGAAGGACTGAATAGAATTGAAGGACTAAAAGTGGATGAAAATATTATACATAAATTTATAGGTTGTTTTCTTATGAAAATATTATGTCACACATTATTACTCTGATATTATTGATATGATGAAATTAGCATTTGCTATTTGACTTTTATCAGGCAGTAATTCATATCCCTCTGTTTTTTTAAAACCAAAACCATGTTGCTTCTATCTGAAATGATGGGTAATAAAAAGGCGAATGGGCGAATGGTTCACATGTTTCTTCAGTTAAAAATCATTTACTTGCTTCTGGTTCATTTTTTTGTACTCGTCTTCCATTGGATTCCAATCAATAACTAATCTGGTGGACGATTACTCTAGCTATCTGATGAAAGATTTTCATCTTTCATTTTCCTATCTCTATCTATGATCCAAAGTTAATACAATATCTTTTCTGCACACTTCATTGACAGTAAGTTCCATTTTTCTTTTCATGCTCAGTTAAACTTCTTGACTGGGGGGAAGAGAGCCACAGGACAGAGGCAGAAATAGCGTCACTCAGAGCAGCTTTTACACAAGAAGTTGCTGTGTAGCACAAGCTCGATCACCCTAATGTAACAAAGGTACCATTTTTATCTAAACTTCTTTATCTTATTTTTATATTGTTCATTCTTCTTTGGAGCTGTAGCAGACTCAAGAGAGTATAGACTAAACCAAAATATTATTGAATTCATATTTCAATAACATTTTCACTAAATTTTGTTTGTCGGAGGAGTAAGAAACATTATATCCAATATGACTTGGTGAATCGTTGTAACATTGAAAATTTGAAACTTGGCAAAAAATGTAAGGTGAAAGGAAGAATGATGTATGCCATGGCTCGTTTCCACTTTGTCAAGAACTCAAGTTTTAAGAATACAAGTTATTATAAGGCTTGATGGTGGGTTTTATTTTTTATTTTTTATAAAGTTCGTGGTTAGTGATGTTGGTGTTGATTGATCTAGGTTTTATCACTTAGCGGGTATAGTCTAATAATTTTTCTTGAAGGTTGTAATTTAAGGTAGAATCATAGTTTTGGATTTTACCATCCAACTATGAATGAAACTACAAGAAGGTGATGCATGAGGGTTATTGGAACTTATCTGCTATTCCATGTGGGATATTCATGAAAGATCTATATTCCTGAACTTATCTCTACTTCATGTTGAGAATTGAAACAATAGTTGTTTGGTACTCCCACTGTCCCACTTTGTGTCTGTCTTAATGATTTTTGGAAGTCTTGTTGTTTATGTGTCTTGGTTTGGAAAGAAAAAAAACAATTTTAACATTACCTTCTTATATTATCTCTTCTTTACATTTATGTTTAAACACATGCACAATCCCAAAAGATTTATTCAAATGAGCAAGGATATTTTTTTTTTTGTAAATTTATGGTTCAAAGATTCTGTGTTTAAAATTTTGTGCATTGTCAAGTAGCACACAAAATGGGACGGAGGGAGCAGTGATGTAGGAAGTCACTGCTGCAGCATGTGTTTCCTAGACTATAAACAATTGGTATTTAGTTCTCAAGGTCAAACCTTAATCCCCTCGTATCTATTTGTTTTAATCTTTCTAACAAGAATAGTAAATAAGGAGGTGATCCCTAAAAGGACACGAGGTAAATGACATGGGGACATTGAAAATTTATGAAAACTGACTTGGGTGTCTAGGTTCATCAGGCACCGTAATATATGTGTCAAAATGGGTCTAATACTTGCATGTTTTTTTGTTTATTCTCTTGGAAAACGCCCTCACCATTTTCATGCTGGATCACTTTTTCAGTTCATAGGTGCTACAATGGGTACGTCTGAGCTAAACATACAGACAGACACTGGTCACGTTGACATGCCGAGAAATGTTTGTTATGTTGTTGTTGAATATCTTCCTGGGGGTGCACTGAAATCTTTCCTTATCAAAAACAGAAGAAGGAAACTAGCTTTCAAAGTAGTCATTCAACTAGTACTTGATCTTGCAAGAGGGTCAAAGTCTCAAACTCCATCTGTATCTTATTTTGTATTTCAAATTGTTGAAACCAAATTCATTTTTCACAAGTTTTGTGGAGTTTGGCATTCCTAAGATGATTTGCAACTTGTGCTTTACTGAAGGTACTCTTTTTCCTCTCAATGTTTTACAGGTTGAGCTATCTTCATTCCAAGAAGATTGTCCACAGAGATGTGAAGACACAGAATATGCTTCTGGACAAGACTCGTACAATTAAAATAGTTGACTTTGGTGTTGCTCGTGTTGAGGCTTCAAATCCTAATGACATGACTGGTGAAACTGGAACCCTCGGTTACATGGCTCCTGAGGTATGCACTTGATTTACCATTTATTGATCTCTCTCTCTCTCTCTTCTGTTTGTGCCAGCTAATAATTGATTTCGTGGTGCTGAGGGGTTTTGTTGATTAGGCCCTGGAAGGAAGCACATGCTACTGTTGGGTAGTTATTGACCGTGGCGTGTATTGGAATTTGGTGTAAAACCAATTGACAATTGCTTTGTGTTCTTAATAGAACTCTAGTAGCTTTACTTTTGACAAACTCCATTTGGTTGATGGAAGTGGTTTTTGACAAAATTGTCTTCAAGTTAGACACATTATTAAACAAATGTTGGATTATGTCAAGTTATACCACAATTTGAAATGGAAGCTTTTCTGTGAAGAAGATTATTTCTGCTTTAAGCCCTGGGACAGCTAATGATGTGTAGTTTATATGCAGTTCCCTCTCAACTCTTCCCTACCATTTATCTAATTAATAATCTTGAATCGGAAAATGGCGTAGGTTCTTAATGGCAACCCATATAACAGGAAATGCGATGTATATAGTTTTGGTATCTGCTTCTGGGAGATATACTGCTATGACATGCCGTATCCTGACCTCAGCTTCTCAGAAGTGACATCAGCTGTTGTCCGCCAGGTACAGAAAAATGTTTGAAATGTGCATTGCATATGTTGACCTTGTTTTTGCTTCTACAAAGATATGAAACATTGAACTTTACTGATTCTTTCATTTTTTCTCTCTACTTTTTTTGCCTATTCATTTGAATGTTTAGGAAAAAGAAGTCTTGCCTGTTGAATAAATTTTAAAATTTTCTATAATGTCCAACTTGAAATTTATTAGGGTGTGTTTTGATCTTGGATTTGAGTAGAGATTTGGAGAGAAAGGGAAAAAAAATAAATCTCTACTCAAATCCAAGATCCAAACACAGCCTTTGAGTTTCTCTTCAGGATGAATGAAGGGGACATTTGGGCTAGTGGTTGCTTCAAGTGTTGTGGTTTCAAAACCATGTGAAAAGCGTTATAGATTCCCCTCTCACCTAGCATCCTCTGAATGCAAAGTATTAAATTCTGAATTCATGTTTGACTTGCCTTAAATGTAATATTATCTTAATGGTAATACAGATGAAATTTTTGTATTGAGCACGTTTGACGTTTTTTTCCAAGTGAGTTTGTATGTCTCCTAGCTGTTTTGAGAGTGTATCTTACTAATATATGGGTTGATAATATTTTTGGTGGCTTCTCTGATTCATTTTGCCTTTTACAGGAGTAATATTATTATTGGTTGAAACACATTCTCACTTCAGCTAAAATGGATGATGTGGTCAATCAATCTCACCAGGGAGATTGGGCAGCTGAAGTGTGTTTCAGATATATGATTCAATTTTTGAAGGTGAAGATGACAAATCAATAGTCATTTCCCATATCAAAGTTTTTGACAGTTGCTTGTTTCATTTTCTTTAATTGAATTGGCTGAATTGTATTATGTCCCGACATATAATAGATTTTCTTTTAATTTTGCTTGTGTTCATATTATTACGTTGCTTTCTTTGTTGTGATAATTCGAGAAAAATTAGGTGAATCCATATTAGTGTGCTTTCTATTCCTTTTCAATTTTTTTGGGCAAATTACACTTCTTGACCATTTTGATTTTAATTGATGTATTTAAAGTCTGAATTATTGCTATTCTTAGGTATGAAATGTATTGTTTCTTATTTTTAATTTTGTTTTCAAGCTTAGTTTATTTATTATTTTAATAAACATCAATTATTAGTTCTTAATAATTATTTGACAGGTATTTTTTTGTTCAATCATATAAAATTAACAAAATTTAAAAATTAAAAAAAAAATGCTATGGCGGCGTTTAAAAAACGTCACTATATCCCACCCCAACGGCTAAATTTTTAAAATGTATAAATGTCTATGACGGCGTTTTCAAAAACGTCGCTAAATGTCATAGTGACGTCATAGTACAGTTAGTGTGACATTTTGCGGCATATATAACGACGTTTTTCAAACGTCATAAAGTTATAGCGACGGCCACGTCATCGGCGTTTGATACTAAACGTCACAAAAAGAATTCGTGACGTTTTTAGTACTTTTAGCGGCTAAAAATGAATTTTCCAGCAGTGATAACTTCAGTTACTGCTGGTTGTTTCCCCCCATATACACCATATTAGGCACAAAAGAGTCATATTCCAAGTCTTGCTTGTTTCTTACAGTGTCATCTTTCAAAGTTTCAAGCAATTCTGCCACCAAGCTTGGAAATATACATGCCCTGTAAACAAAGGAAAGTATGGTATATGGTACTATGGTTCTTAGCATATACACTAAGTTGATGTAAAAAGTTGTCATGTCTGTTGGTTTTGCCAAGGATGAAGTGATCTAGAGAGGAGAAAAAATAAGGGAGCATGTTCGTAGATTTACTGACTACTAACTTTTTGAAGGCAGTTAAATTATGTTGTGCAGGAATATTACTTGAAATACACAACTTTGTATTTTAGTTCCATTGCATAATTACTAACTAATTGCATGAGCATAAAGCAAATAGAACTCTAAACAAATTCTAAATGTTAAAAAGGAACTTATTTTTTTTTTTTTTCAAAACATTGATGCTGATGGCTCTCAAAAGATTGCTGTGCACACTACATAAAAATTCTTATTATTTACATTGCAGTGCTAGAGGATTTTAAATCAAGTGCCATCCATGCCCCCTGCTTAGAAAAAAGTGGTAGGCCGCGCCACCACAGGGCAATTTTGCAAAAAACTTTAGAAACACATTTGCCTTGCTGACAACCAAATGCATTTGTTAACTACATTAAGTTGCGTTTCACTTCACGGATTACACATTTCCCTGCTGGTTATTTGTTGCTTGGAAGGTTGCAGGATATTTTGTAGTTTGTAAATCATTCCAGCAACGCTGGCAATTCAATTCAGCCAGTTTTGTATCTTCCCTACATCCTTGTGGTGTAGTAGGCAAACTTATGTTCATGATAAGAGTGATTCCACAGTTGCTTGTGTTATTTTATTTATTTATTTATTTGTTTTTCCTTGTGTTTTTGGCAAGTAGTTTCTTGCATTGGTATTGCAATAGTCTATTTGATGTGTTTCAATTGTTATTATTATTTTCCTGTCCTACATTTTCTAGTAATTAAGAATTTAGTCTCATTTAAAATTTTGACATTAGCTCTCCATTGTGCCATGAATATACATTCTCTATCTTCTCTTCGGCTTCTCCCCAATTTTACAAAAAAAAATCTGACCGAATAGTCCATGAAATGAGATTGTGCAATGCAGCCTTTTTCTCATTTCACGGCTCAGATCGTGCCACATGTGCGCTTCAACTCATAAAGCTTAAAACACTGTCGTTTGGTCCCATATACAAAACTAACAAAATCCCCTTCTTCCCTTTTCATATTCGACAGCCCTGTTTCCCTCCTACCCTTTCTGGGGTGTATTTAGAGACACCCTGCAAATAAGGATGACTCACTACTTTCTAACCATAATAATTGTTCATGATCTTCTAATTTGATTTCCAGCAAACAAAACAAAACTCAATTCAATCGATTTTGCAAAACTCATGTAAAAAAAATATACATATACATATATATATATATATATACAAACATGGGAACTTCTTATTTTGAGTAGTAAAATAAAGGTGTTTTGAGTAGTAAAATTTTATCAACTCTATGATGTGTTCAATATTTATGCACCCCTGAGTTTACAGGACAAGCACTGTTATTATACATAGGAGAACTCCGTGAACATAAATGCTAGACAACGAAAATCTAGCTAGTATACCCACCCAAAAGGAAAAAAGGACTGTAACTAGAATTATTACAACCATACAATTTGCAGAGATCTTGAATAAAGCAAATCACTTCATGAAACTCAATTTAACCACATTTAAGTAACAATCAAGTTGTTCATTATATGGAATAATGTTCATATTTCAAACCTATCTGGCACCAAGCAAAGAGGGAATAAGGGACTTGAAAGGAAAGAAAATAGCCGCAACAGTAGCAGGAAAAAAAAAAACACTAGCTAGGGGTGAACAGCGGATATTCCGATCTGCCTAAACTGACCAAACCGAACTGATCCGCCGCATTTTAAATGGATGCGTGATGACGAGCAGATGGTTGCGGATTAATTTTTTCCAATCTGCCTAGTTTTGGACAGATGGCGTATTTGAGGTTTCTTTGGCTGCAACCGAACCGTCAAACTGCGAACATCCCTAGTAATTTGTAAAATTTTGTGTTTTCAATTTATTTAAATATTCTGTTTGTATTTTCAATTGAAAAAGAGTTTACATATTCTGCTATATTTTCAATTTGTTTTTAATTTGAAAATCCTTTTGTCATATGGTAAGTGTTGATATTTGGTAATTTTGTATGAGAAATATAAGGCTTAATTTTGTCATTTTAAAAAAAAAATCAAATTAAATAGTTTTTGAATATAAAAAAAGTAATGAAATAGTTTTAATAATGCATGGTTTTTTTATACGTATTTATTATTGGTATTTGACAATTTACTTGATAATCTTTTGGTTATGTTGAGTTGGATTGTTATTAAAAACAAATGTTGACAAGTTACTGTATTATGTTCAAAATTTGTAAAGTTTAAACCATATTCGCATCTATTCGCCAATTCGCCAATCTGCTCAATCCGTATCAGAATCAGTAAAGAACAAAGAAGTGAGGATGGAGCAGGGAGGGAAGGTGCAGCCATAGCAGCAACGACAGAGGAAAGGGCAACCTGCCAAGGGGAAAAAGACGCAAAAAAGAAGACAGGAAAGGGAGGGGAGAGAAACTAGCTACCTGGGGTGTGTGTTTTGCAAATCAACATCTCCCTCCAAAAACATGTTAAGTTAATGTTTTATAATGAAACCTTAATTCCTTTGCTTAGGTGTCACAATCCTAGTTGATCATGTGTGGTCACTTTAGTGGTCACATGACTAGCACGTGGACACTTGTAAAATATATAATTTTTATATATTTATTGTACGTCATATATAAGGATAAATAATTAATATTAAAGGGTTGGCCTAGTGACAAGGTCTTGGGGGTGTGCTCCCTCCAAAGTTTAAGGATTAAAATCTCTTAGGTGCTAACAATTCTTTGGGGCCATCGAACTAAGAGAAAACTCTTAAATTAACCGTGATACACTTGTGGAAAACTTCTTGCCGAGCGCCTGTGCACCCTTGGAGATTAGTTGGACTTTGATCTGGACGCCCCGGTGTCAATAATATATACATATATATATATATATATTGTGGGAATATATTTTTTGAGTACCAACACGTGGCCAAGGTGACACCGACGTGTTAGCCGGGATGCCACGTGTCCTGGTCGTGACGCCGAGGTGATCTTGGCTAGGCCGAGGTTATCTCCGAAGATATCGGAGTCCGGGATAAACGGATAAGGGACAAGAGTCCTAGAATGAGGAAGGACATCAGCCTGGATAAGGATAAAACTCTTAGGGAGTTTATCTTTATCTATTGAAAAGTCCAAGATAAGCATTGAACAGAAGTCCATTGAAGCTAGGCTTCTATTGGGACTAGGATTGAGTTGGCTATAAAAGAGAGGCACCCCCAATGGATCTAAGGTACGCAATTTATATTCTGAACAGTGAGTTAAGCACTTTATCTATCTTTGAGAGATAACTGACTTGATCATCGGAGTGCCCCCGGGTGGACGAACCACCGCCGGAATCTCTTCTTTCTGTTGCAGATCATTCAGGTGCCATCTATTCTGCCAGTGCTTCCCAGCTGAATACTGAGTTGGCAGTGTGGTCAGAAATTCACTCACACAATTTGGCGCTGTCTGTGGGAAAGAAAGGAGAATAGATGGCCAACGACGGACAAAAAGAGAAGGTTGGGGACGACACTCCTACTAGGAGTGGGAAACCTGTAGACCTTGACGTTAAAGGAGACAACTGCAACGAAGAAACTCGTGATAAAAATCACGGAGGAAAGGACGTCGACCATGAAGGCGACGTACCAAAGAAAATGGACCAAAGTGGGTACTACAACGAGGACGACCTCCAGGTATGAAAAGAAAGATGCCTGCAGAGGGACGATGAGGTAAAGACCACGACGAACAAATTGACAGACCTACAAACGATCGTCAATAGTCTGTCAATTTCATGATGCAAAACAATGTCATGCAGCCACCGTTCCCACTGCAAGACACGCAGATTCCAGTGGCCAAGAAAGATGCCCGACAAGATGGGTAGAAAACAGTCCCTACAGTCCCTCAACACACCAGGAGCGAAAAATACTCTCACCGGCCTTCAAGGGAGGTCGGGCGAGGAGAGTCAAGAAGGGAATAATCTCGGAGGACACATCGCACCAAGGAAGCAGACCCCAAAGAACATCGGCATGTTCAAAGGCAGGAGTTGTGCTTCGATGCGACTATTAGAGAAAGGTCAAAGAGGGCTCACAACGAAGCTGAAAGTAGTGCACCTAAAAGGCTGAAGTCAGGAAATAGCCGAGCTCCTGGTCGAACCAAGGAAGACCTAAGGGATTACTTACAGAGGAGGCAGCAAGATGCCGAGGTGACCTCCCTGGTCAAGCTGAGAACCACATTCTCAGTAGAATTGGACAAATTCGAAGCACCGAAGAG